CATTGTGACCTCTTCTGGCAATGCCCCTTCTGTCATGCAGTGGTTAAACAGAGCACCGAGAGGTTGCGCTAGGGTGTTAAGGAAGGTGCGGTAATATTTATTAGGCAGGCCATCATGTCCCGGTGATTTGTGTAGTGGGAGCGTGGAGATCACCAAGGCGATCTCCTCGGTCGTGAAGGGTTTGTTAAGCTGTTCCGCCTCTGTCTTAGATAGGGTAGGGAGGTCGATTCCTGCTAGGAAGGTGTCAATATCTGCTTTGGAGGGGCAGACTGTCTGTGGGTCATCTTTTAGATTATATAGTTTTTCATAATAATGGGCAAATTTGTCCACTATCCCCTGTGGGTTTAGAATTGTGGTGCCCTTGGAACTCTTGATGGAGGCAATCTTGGAGTTAGCCGTCCTCTGTTTCAATTCGGCAGCCAGCCGCGCTCCCGCTTTGTTGCCTGTAGCAAAAAAGCCGTGTTTAAACCTGCGCATGAGGGATGTGGTTTTGGCCAGTTCCAAATCTCTCAGCTGCGATTGTAAGGATGTGGGATGGGTTACTCGCCACGGGTCTACAAGATTGTGCGGTGTTAGTTTGTTGCATATTAGTGTGGTTAGTTTGGACCTGCTCTTTAGTGTTTGTGCGGTCAAGTGGGGACCTCCTGATGAGTCTAGGTTACTGTCTAGTAAGAAATTCGTGTCACCCCCAATGATCACTTCCCCCAGTGCGTGGGCAGACATCAAACCAAGCAGTACATCAACAAAGTTACATTGGTTAACATTAGGTCCATATACATTAATTAAGGTATAGACATTATTATTTAGGGAGCATTGCAATATAAGGTACCTTCCCTTTTTATCTCCTATTGTGCGTATTAAGGAGAAAGCTACATCTCTGCTAATAAGGATGGACACTCCTCTTTTTTTTGCGGAATAACATGAGTGGTAATCTATGGGATACTGTGGGGAATTAAACTTCGGTCTGTTACCCCATTGGAAGTGCGTTTCTTGGAAGAGCATTACGTTGGCACCTAATGATTTTGCTTCGCGCAGGGCTAGGCGGTGTTTGTGGGGGGAATTCAACCCTTTAGTATTTAGGGAGCATATTTTAAGTACCATCTGTCATGTGGTATAGTCTGTGGCTACTCGGGGGTAGACAGGGTGCTCCTCCAACATTAGGTTCCCCAATGGGAGGTAGTTGTATAGCTAACATGGTGGTGCTAGATGGTGATAAGGATGCGGGACATACCATCTGTGTGGTTTGCCTTATAAAAAAAAGAAAGGATAAAACAATATAATAACTAAACCAATAGTCAACTATGTACAATGTTCCGTTCACTGCGCCTCTGCGGTGCAGTGTCAAACTTAACGGATTCTCTTGTGGCTCTGAGTCGGTAGCCACGTTGGGGGTGGTTATTGAAATCGGTAGCAAGGATTTAACAGCAAAAATTATCATAGCAATTCTGGATGGCCTTAGTGACGCCCTCCCTGGGTGTAGGTAGGCTTCTAGCCCGGCATGATAATTTGCAAGAAAGGAGCATGTACGAATATAGTCTTTGTATACGACCTGTCCCGTATGAGCACCGTGTAGTCAGCACACGATTGGGAGATCTGGTCACGCTAGACTTGTCTTTGTGTGGTCTTGGGACGTGGTTGTTTCTTCCATTCATTGTGGAGTTTGATTGCAGATCTGTCTTCTGTAGCTAGTGAGGGGTCATTTGGTATCGGAATGTTCCACTCCAGCAGTTGTCTTTTGCTGGATTCAGGATCAAGAATCGGGTTGTCTACGCCGTTGCGTTTTACTAGTAACTTGGTCGGGAAGCCCCACTTATACTGTACATCTGCCGCTCTCAATGCCGCTGTTATGTGGGTAAACGAGCGCCTTTTTATCATGGTCGCAGTGGAAAGGTCAATGAAGAGCTTGATTTGGGAAAATTGACCTGGGAGCTGACCTTGGCGTCTGGACGCTTGCATTATGCGATCTTTCGTTGTGAAATAGTGTATTCGCGTTATGACGTCTCTCGGCACTGTAGTCGGTAAGTGCTTGGGTTTTGGGAGGCGGTGTGTTCGGTCTAGCAGCAATTCAGTTTCCTTCAATGCTGGAATGTATGCTTTAAATATTTCTTGTACAAATTGGGTCAGATCTAGGGAGCCGACTGACTCCGGTATTCCCCGGATTATAATATTGTTGCGGCGGTCCCGGTCTTCGTGGTCTGCCACTTTTGCTTCCAGGCTTTGCACTCTCTGCATTAGGGCATTGTGTGCCTCTGATAGGCTATTATGAGCCTCTATAGTTTCCTCTGCTCTCTCGTCCAGACGTGCTGTTCGTTCACCTAAAGCTTGAATGTCAGCCCTGATATCTGTGGCAATTTGTTTCAAGTCTGTTTTGAAAGTATGTTTTAATTCAGATAGCATGTTATGCAGTGAAGCGTTTGTGGCTGGTGCTTGCATGTCATCTGCAGTGAGGGTAAACTCACCTCCTTCTGAGCATGAGGCTGGGGACTGGGGCTGGTCGGCGCCATTTTGTTCCTCCGTTCCGCACTTCGGCGACGATATCACCTGCATTTGGAGGGTCTTTTGTTTAAATTTTTGTGCGGTCTTTGTGGACATTATGTGGTGGAGGTATGCCCACTTGTTTGTCACTCTTGCCGGTGCTTGCTCGCTGTGTATTCACGCTGTGTACACCCGTCGGCGGGAGAGCTCCGAGATCAGGCGACCGCTCTCATTCGCCGCTAAGCCACGCCCCGTTTACGTTTTGTTTTGATCAGAACGTGTACTATTGACTCCGTCCTGAAGGGGTTAACAAGTAAATTAAAGAAAGACTTTGCAAATAAAAGAATATATAAGATAGTTGATGCATTGGTAACACCTTTAAAAATACTACGATCTATATAATCTTTCAGACGCGCATGAGCATAAGGATATAAGAAAATTCTTGGATACATTTGATATCACTAAAATTAATGAAAATTATCTAATTAATATGAATCATATCCCAAAGGGGAATTAGTCAGTAGGTTACTAATTAACAATAATATTAGAGTGTCTAGATAAATAACCAGATATTTACTCCTAAGAATCCAAAATTACAACAAAAAAAACAAAACTTTAATGGTTATAAATTCAATGATGTACATAAAAGTATATAAGATAAAAAAAATTAATTAATTTAATCCACCTAATAAAGGTAGGATTTGTGCCTAAGTGGGGAAAATGCACAAAATATAATTAGAGATGCTCTTTAACAAAAGCCATTCCAGATCACTATATAAAGATAGTATAGATTCACTATTTAGAAGATCTATATTTCTATTGCCACATAGATATGAACAGACATTATTGACAGGATCCCATACTGCCAATTTGCTCCTATCTAAAATTAAATCACATATCTGGACAATTATTATAAACAGATAATTTCTAAAGAAATCAACACTATACTTTCACATACATATAGCTATAATATATTTCATAAGTTATATTAAACTGTTAGTATCCAAAGAGCTTCCTCGGATACAGTACTATTTGTAGAGCCGATATGCAGCAGCGCTTAAAAGTTAAGCAAGTGAAGATATTACTTAGTAATTGCATAGTTTGTCATAGTCATTACTATGTTTCAAAAGTTACTGGATTGTGAAACTAGCCAGATTTCTATATTTATATGCTACAAGTTAGTCACATATTGTCACATCCTGTTCCTAGCTGCGGATCATTCTGGCTATGGCTTCTGGTATCCAGTACTCTTTTTACAATTTTTGTTTAGGTTTTCTTGGTTTTTTGGTTTTCTATTCTAAGTATGGATTTCTTTATGCTGGGTTTTTCTGGGTTCATTCCTGTAATCCGTCCCTGGAATTCCCAGTCTCTTGGATTCATTTAAATGTTTGTTTTATGTTGCCACACCCATTTGTTTTCCATCATTCCTTTTGTTTCAGTGTTCCTGCAGGCAGCTGCCCAAGTCTTCTGCCCTTTCTTGCAGGTACGTACTATGTGTGTTTTCTTTTTTTTTTTAAACGTTTTTATTATGAGTTACAAGCATGTCAGTTTTGTTGATAACAGGGAAAGTACAGTATGAGACCTATAGTTTGTTACGTGCAGATGAGGTTTATATGACTTTGATGTCTGTATACACATTAATACAATATGGAAAGTAAACTAAAGTAGAGTGTATGTTAGAAAGTGCAATGTGTAGGTTGGTTTTATAGCAGGTCAGCGATTAGTGCAAGGTAGTACGAAATTATACCGTATGTTGATAGCAGTAATGTGTAAATGCAAACATTGGTTGGTAGTATATTTTAGGTACACAACAATTTGAGAGGTTTACATGGCTTATCAGCTTGTAAGGTTGGCACTGTTCGTGGGTGGATAAGGGTTTAGGCCGGATGACATAAGTGGTAACTATCACCTTAACTGTGATTACCATGGAGGAATTGGAGCCAAGGTGTCCAGGTGGTGTGGTATTCATCATATTTGAGAGTGAAGGAGTAGGACAGTTCCTCCATAGTTCTAATGGAGTCAACCCTGGCTATCCAGGCTCTAATAGTCGGGGCTGTGGACTGTTTCCACATTGTGGGGATTAGAGCGTTAGCTGCCTTTAGGAGATGATTGAGTAGGATGCGTTGGCGTTTGTCTAGTGGTTGGGGGTATATAAGGAATAGCATGGTTTCAGGTGTTTGGGGAAGGTTGATGCCAGTGATGATGCGTATGAGATTGGCAATCTTTCTCCAGAAATCTTGGATCATGGGGCAAAGCCACCAAATATGGCCTGTGGTTCCCTCAGCTTGTTTGCATCTCCAACATATTTTTGGTGTATTAGGGAAGAACCTGTTAATGCGGGTTGGTGTATAGTGCCACCTGGCTACTCGTTTATAGTTGCTTTCATGGGTGCTATAGCTCCTGGATGTATGAAAGATGTTTTTGAAGATTCTGTGCCAATCTTTAGTCTGTATTTGGGTGGACAGTTCTTTGTCCCATTGTGGGGTATAATTTGGCAGATCTCATCCTGACGTTGGAAAATTGTTTTATAGAAGGATGAGACCTCTACGTAATGTGTGTTGCGAACATTGTGCTTCAAATAGCATGGGGTTCCTATGTCCCTGGAGGAGTATTGGGTCTGAGTGTACAAAGTGTTTGATTTGTGAATGTCTGAGTCTGAGCATGCCAGAGGATTCGGTGTTGGGTACCAGGTCCTCCAATGGGATGATCCCTTTGTCGTTAAGGACGTCACCTAGGGTGAGTGTGTGGGTCTGTTTGGGGAAACTTTGAAGAGCGACTGTGTTACTGTCTGGCAGAAAGGCTGGGTTGTCAGTTAGTGGGTAGAGCGGTGAGGGGTGTGGTGCTATATATTGGTCCCTTCTGATTTTGTGCCAGGTCTGTAGGGTATGAGGAATCATCGGGTGTAGCTCTGAGTTGTGTGTTGTTATGTTGGGTCCCCTTCCTAGCCAGGGAGCAACGTGTAGTGGTGTTGTGAAAAAGTTGGCCTCAATCCTTACCCATTGGGTGTCGTTACGGGGGTGTGCCCATTCATATATTTTTGCGGGGATAACAGCTTTGTGATACGCCTCCAGGTCGGGAAGACCCAGGCCTCCTCTCTGTTTACTTTTTATTAGGCAGTCGGATTGGGGGGTTTTCCCGCCCATATGAATGCAGTAAATGTCCGTTTGGCTTGCATGAAGAAGGAGAAAGGGACTTTGATGGGGAGGGTTTGCAACAGGTATAGGAGTTTGGGGAGTACATTCATTTTTAGGATGTGGATTCTGCAGAGCCATCCAAGTTGTGGTCTGTTCCAAGCCTTGAGGTCAGCTGCTATCTTAGCCAGGAGGGGAGGGAAGTTGATGTCATAGGTACGGTCTAGAGAGGTGGTTAGTTGGACTACCAGGTATTTGACTGATTCTGAGTCCCACTGGAATGGGAAGGTTTTGTGTAGTATAGATTGGGTATTGTGGGATAGGTTGAGGGGGAGTATTTCGCTCTTGCTTACGTTGAATTTATAGTTAGAGACTTGGTGGAATATATCAATTTCTTGCAGGAGGCGGGTCAGTGATGTCTCTGGGTTTGAGATTGTGAATAGGAGATCATCAGCAAACGTTGTGACTTTATATTCATTTTGTGCAACTTAAAGGCCTGTTTTATCCGGGCAGTCCCTAATTCCCTGTAAGAATGGTTCCATTGTGAGAATAAATAACAGGGGGGAAAGGGGACACCCTTGTCTCATGCCATTGGCTATTTGAAATACGTCCGAAAGTTGGCCATTTACCTGTACTCTTGCTCCTGGTTTGGAGTATATGGCTGAGAGCCACTTTCTCTAGTTTGGGCCGAAGCCTAGCGCTTGCAGTATCAATTTGAGCATAGACCAATCCACCCTATCAAATGCCTTTTTGGCATCGATGGTGAGTATGAGGCTTTGGGACTGTTCCGACCTGGCAGTGTAAATGAGGCTGAGCAATTTCATTGTGTTGTTTTTTGCTTCGTGTCCAGGCACGAAACCGGATTGCTCTGGGTGGACCAGTCCCCTAAGAAGTGGTTGGAGGCGTTCGGCTAGGATCTTGGTGAATATTTTGAGATCTCCATTAATCAGAGAAATGGGGTGGAAGCTCCCACATTCCTCTGGGTCTTTCCCCCGGTTTGTGTATGAGGGTTATGTGAGCCTCTAGGGATTTGGTTGGGAAAGTGTGCCCCGTTATGAGCGCATTAAATGTTTCTACAAATGGTGTTTTTAGGATATTGGTGAAAGTTTTATAATATTTGGCTGTGAAGCCGTCCGCTCCAGGGCTTTTCCCCAGGGGGAGTTGCTTGACTACTGCGGTGAATTCCTCAGGTGTCATGGGACTGTCAAATGTTTGTCTAATATTCGGGGGGATGGTGTGGGTGATCCTTGTGGAAAGGAATTTGGTCACGTCATCGCTGGATGGTGGGGATTGTCTCAGGTTGTATAGGTCTGAGTAGAAAGTCTGAAATTCCCTGAGTATGTTTGGCAGGAGGTGTGTGCGTGTGCCGTCTTTCTGTTTGATTGTGGTAATGTATGTCCGTTGATTGTTTTGTTGGAAAGCTCTCGCTAGCATTTTGCCACATTTCCCTCCTTGTGTGTAGTATGTGTGTTTAGTGCGTAGCAGCATTTGTTTAACCTTGGAGTTAAGAAGTGTTTGTAGTGTTGTGTGTTTGTCCACTAGTTGTTTGTATATGTCGAGGGACACATTTTGTTTGTGAGTTTGTTCTAGTTGGAGTATGTCCATGAATAAGTCTGCTGTCTGTGCCGCTCTTTGTTTCTTGAGCTTTGAGGCTAGTGCTATAATGTGACCTCGTCGTACCGGCTTGTGGGCTTCCCAGATGATTGGTGGGGAGGAGATGGTGGATTTGTTTTCTTCAATGTAGTGTTGTAGTGTATCAGTGAGTGTTTTAGTTATGGTTGGATCATTTAATAGGGTGTCATTTAGTTTCCATTGGATATGGTTGGGTGTTAATGTAGGGATTTGAATAACTAGTGATAGCGGGGCATGATCCGACCAAGTGATTGGGCCGTACTTGCAGGATTGGATTAGGTGCAGGTGTCTGTGATGGAGTAAGAGCATATCTAATCTGGAATAGGTATGTTTTACTGTGGAGTAGTAAGAGTAGTCTTTGGTTTGTGGGTGGGTAATTCTCCAGGTGTCGAACAGGTAAGTTTTATCTAGTAATTGAGTCATCTTGAGTCTAGTGGGGGCGTTGTAGGACGTGGATGTGGATGTGGTGTCTAGGTCTGAGTCTAGGGACATGTTTAGATCCCCTCCCATTATGAGAATATCTTACAAGTGATTTTCTATTTTAGTAATGTATTTCTTTAGGTGTGTGCTTTGTTTGGTATTAGGTAAATACATGTTAGCAAACGTCACCACTGTGTTGTCTATCTTTCCCTTCACTATGAGGAGTCTGCCATTAGTGTCAGCATAGTGGCTTATGTGTGTGTAGGGTACATGTGTACCTATTAGGATGGCTACTCCTCTTGCTTTAGCCCCTTCGTAGCATCCATAGTATCCATTTGTAGTGGCAATTGAGAATTGTGAGGGCTGAGCCTGTTTTGAAGTGGGTCTCTTGAAGGAAAGCTACGTCTGCCTTCAGATTGTGTAGTTCCCAGAGGGTCAACACTCTTTTTGTTGGGGAATTGAGACCCCTGGCATTGAGAGTGATTACTGTGAGACTGGCCATGTAGTCTGCGGGGGTGAGTGTTATAGTGTGATGATATTGAGCGAGTAAGTAGCAACCAGAACTAAATAAAAACAGAATTAATAATAAAACAATCAAATAAACTATATACAGTTCAGCTCTTATGCCTGTAGAGTTGAGATGTTATTGAATGTGGAGTCAGTCGGCCTCGTTTGACGGTGGCTTTCCCCTTAGTGGCACTCAGGTCCAGGGGAAGTTGAGCCGGCACCGCTTAGGCTCTAGTCGACTCTCCACTCGCTTTTAGAATAACAATATCAGTTTGATGGGGGGGTTTGGTGTTGGTACGTCTTTCCTTAGAAAGACGGGCAATCCATGTTATGCTAAGTGATTTGGATTGGTGAATCAGGCCTGGGGGAGTGAATAGTTTATGGGACTATTTGGTGGCCACCGGTCATGGTGGGTAGGGGTGGTGACTGGTTGGGGTTGGATTGGTTTGCTAGTGTCAGTCAGGCATAAGAGTAGACAGCGTAAGGGGGGAGGGGAGAGGGGGGCTTGAGGAGGCGAGATATGTCCACATAATGTAGACCATTTCAAGAGTATGTATATTACCACTCTGCGGGCCTTCTGCTGGATTTCCCATGAGCATATTGTGGTTGTTTAATAAACAGAGTACTCATGGTTTGCAGGATTGAGCTCAGGAGTCTGTACAGTTCCAGGGTGGTAAGGATTTTGTCCTTGATTTGCAGTAGTAAATGGACGATTTGTGCTCCTTTGAAGCTAAGGAGATTGAGTCTTGTTGGGACCTCTTTTCCTTGGTAGGTTGGTGTGTGGACCTTGGCCTCTAGGGCATTTTGAGTCAATAGAGTGTCTCTTGTTGGTGGGAGTCCAGGCTAGCATATGGTCCTTGCATACGTTTATAGTCCAGTCAGGGCCAAGATGATGCCAGGTGTGAGGTCAGTTTGTCGTATAGAGTCTCCTCTGTCAGCATTTGTGGGTCAGACCATATTACCGTGGTAAGGGCGGGTGGTGACCGGTGGTTTTGCTAAGAAGATTTATTTACTGTGTGGGGGGTCCTGCTCTCGGCCTGTGTCCCCATTGATGTGTTGTTTGGTCATTGTAGCGTCTCTTCGATGGGGTCTGTCGTCTCTGTCTTGGGGCGTTGTGTTGCTGTGTAAGTGGATGTATTGGTCCATACCAGTCCGGGATGCAGACTTCTGGAAGGTTAAGGGCTGAAGTAAAGGTCTGTACATCCTCAGCTGACGAAAGGGTTGCAGTGATCCCATTATGCGTTGCTGTGATGGCGAGGGGAAATTCCCATCTGTAGCGTATGTTCCTGAATATTAAGAGGTCAGTGAGTGGTTTCATTACTCGCTGTGCCTGGAGGGTCATCCAAGATAGGTCTGGGTATATCTGCACTGGTCTCCCATGGTACAGGAGTGGTTGGGATGTCTGGTGGAGGCTCATAAGGATGTCCTCTTTAATGCTGTAGTAATGCAGTCTGCAGATTACATCTCTAGGGGAGTCCCCTCCAGGGTTCCTGGGTTTGAGTGCCCTATGCGCTCTATCTAGCAAAATGGGCATTGTTACGTCTCGTTGGAGGATTAAGTTAAAAAGCTCTTGCAGAGTGGTGTGTAGGTTTTCCCCCTCTGCCTCAGGTAAGCCCTTAATCCTTAAATTATTCCGGCGTCCCCTATTGTCCAAGTTGTCAAGTGCCCTTTACTTAGCTGCCATTTGTGTGTTGTGAGCTGCTACAGTGCTTTCCAAAGCTTGTAGTTGTGTGCATGTGCAGTCATGATAATTTTCTAGGGAATTAACCGTTTCACTGACCTGCCTGACTTCCGTGGAAATGTCATCCATTTTCTTTTGAAAGGTCTGCAGCATTGCTGCCAAATCTTGTTTGGAAGGGAGATTTCTGAGTATTTATTTTAAGTTCTTGTCCCTGTCAGCTTCAGAAGTGAGTGACATGCTGTCCGATGCCGCCGGGCTGGAGGGTGCTGAGGATTGCTCTGCCGGGTCGTCCGGCACCATATTGGAGCCTGAGGCCTCGTTTCGCCGGTCCCACTGATCCTTAAAGTATTTTGTTAGGTTGCCCGATTTTGCTGTGGATTGCTTGCCCGCCGTATTGGAGGCTGTCGAGGGGCGTTTGGGGTGTTCCATGATGCGGTAGGTGCCTGATGGCTTCGGATTGCCCTGTCTCTCTCACGGATCTCTGTTAGCAAGCGTCCATTCGCGTTCGCGGTTAGCTCTATGTCTGTTTTCTTTGGTTGATTTAGCATACATTAGGCAGTGTAGGACCTGCCAGATATGGGGTACATTGGCGTTGTTGGCAGGCTTATGCAATGTATGATCATATAATGTAACTATATCCCCATGATTTTCATATGTGGTACTTATTTATGTCTCCTCTTGTTTTACCTCTTGTCTTGTTTTATTTTGTCTTGTATTCCCAGTTCATGTACAGTCCTGTCCTGCCCTGTTCTTGTTTTCCTCATGTCTTGTG